TAACCCAAGGCAGGTGCAGTTGCTCTTGAGGGAAAGGGGCTGTTTAGTTTGGGGGATCTGGGTTGAGAGCCTGTTTCTTGGCCACAGTTTCCTTTTTGGTAAGATATCAATGGTAAGTATCGACTTCAGTAAGTATGCTTCTGTAGTACTATGTAGTTATACAGATCACATATTGGATTGGAAAAGGCAGCATAATAGTCATTAGTATTAATGATATGCATCATTTAAATTAATATAAATTATAGCATATTCATGATAATATTACATATGTTAAGCTCATAGACTCTCAAAGCTGGCAAAAGCTATCAGAGGTCGTCTACTCCAGCCTCCCTCAATGGGTATTAGGATCCCCTGTTCAATATCTATTCAAGCTCTTATCAATCTTATTACAAGCAAAATTATGCATGATGAATTTCAGGATTTACCCAAGGCAGGGAGTAGCTCTCTATACTCTAATGGGACCATGGCTCCATATTCCTGGTGGGCCCTTGTGAATCCATCATTCTTGACTTCATGGGAAATCCAGAGCCCAGACATCAAGCAACTCCCAAAGACTGCTATGGTCAAAATAGTGTTAAAAAAACAGGTACAGAGCCGGGGTCCCAGCTGGGAAAATCTCAAGAGGTTCGATATTCCCTTGCCAAATCAGTACTGGTCTCCATGATTTAGAGCAAAGAAAGGAGGCAGGGAAGGGGCAGAGAGTACATGGTAACCTCTGTAGCCCCTGATGCCCTGAATGTTCTGACATACACAACAGTCCCCATAATAGGTGGAAGCACCTGGAAAATTCTAGACTTCATTTCTGGACTGAGGATAGCCATCCTGCCCCTCACTGATTGGTTCCCTAATCCTTCTCACCCTTCATCTTTGTTCCAGGATTGGCCCAACAGCCAAAATCTAACATTCAGTACTCTGGAATGACACAAATGCTGCCACCAAAAACCTCCCACTGTTCCCTTCTAGGATGGGAAGACTGCCAGGTGCCAGGAAAATCACTCAGTGAGAGCCTGACTCTGATCAGAGGGCTGAGAGTGGGCCAGAGGCTCTCCACTTGAGAAGGGAGGTGAGCTCTTCCCAAGGGGTGGGGGGATGGTAGCCCATTGACCAGCCCTTTCTGCCTCCCTTTAATACCTGGGCCCCCTCTAGTCCAAAGGCCATCCATTTGCTTGAGGTAGGGAGATTAAAATTCATTCCCAATTTGGTCTTCTGAATCAACGCACTGATCCTAATGTGAGTGAAAAAAAAAAATGTTAGAGAAATGGTTTCATCCTAAGGTCAGAGAGGGTTGGTTGAAGTGTGCATGGCTGGACATGTTCCTTGGGTAGGGCTGATGCTTCACAGTTTGTTTGGGGAGAGCTGGGGTGTGCCAGGACATATAATTGCAGATGGCGTGACTCACATACATAAAGAGGTTGGTTTCTGTGTTTAAGGTAAATAGAGAAGACTGTGGGTCACTCCAGAGGTCTGGAAGCAGGCAGGGAGGACCTCAACAGTGAAAAAGTGCAGAAGCCCAATCCTTCATTGGTCTCCATGCTTTTAAGAGTCCTAGTGAGGCTCCTTCTTCTAAGGAATCATGCAAACTGCTCTGGGCTAGCTCAGCTTTGATTTGCGAGGGAAGCAGAGGCATGGAATTGTCTTGGGGCTTTTTTCTTGAGGCTCAAGGTCTTCCATCCTTTCTTAGGTTACAGAAAATGAGAGTTTTTGCCAGACATGAGAAAACTAGAGAAAGGGTGCCACCTGTGCTTTCTACCCCAAACCAAGGATGAAGGGGCTCAGATTAAGAGTGCCTGACTCCAGGGGTGAACAGCTGCCTGCATTCAGCTTTGTCTGCAGAATGGTAGAAAAGAAACAAAACTGGAGACATTTATATGTAGAGGTATACAAAGTCAGCAGCACAGTCAAAAAGATTCTATAGCATCTCAACATTCCAAACATTTCTTTAGCATGGATGATCGTTTCTTCCATTCTTTATCAAAAGCCTGATTTCTTCATGTTACAAATGTTTCCAAACTGAGTATCAAAGTCATTTATTTGGCTTAGTTTTTATAGAGCTTGTGGGACAGAAGTAGGTCTCAAACTTTAAATCTTCTGACCCCAGAACTGAAGTTCCCTTCACATCACATCCCCGCACTCAGGCATTACAGTGATGGCTGGCTGCCACAGCAGGAAAGAGGGCAAAACATGAGGCTGAGAAGGCAGCCCAGAGCTAGGAAAGACAATGTCCATGCAAGTGGGAGGAGAGTCAGGCCTGGGAGAGGCAGACAAAGGGCACCGGACCATGGAGAGTTGAGAGGAGGCTGAAGAGAGGAGCTCTGCCAGAATTCTCCATGGACAGGAGGCTCTCTCAGCTCTCCAGTGCCAATCTAGCTGGGACAGGCATCAGAGATTATTGTCCATTGTGACCTGAGCAGGAAAGATGGAGTAAGAGGGATCTAGGAAAGGATAAGTAGGAAAGAGTGGGGCGTGGCAGAATCAGAAGAGTCTGGTTGCGGGGACACAGCTGTCCAGGTCCAGGCTATGGGCCCGCCTACCCACTGTCCACATCTAAAGGTGGGGGAAGGAGCAGCATGCTGGGTAGGGCTCTACCTGGAGTGACCCTCTACCTAGTGAAACCAGGAGGCAAGTAGGGACCAACTAGGAGTCATGGTCATTTTCAAGATTTGTATTTGTCCTGTCTGCTTTGAGGCTCCAGTTCCTTCCTGTATGAAGGCAAAGACTTCCATCCCTCATGTAAGAATAGAGGCACACTGGGAAATCTTGAGGCCTGGTGAAGGAAGAAAGGACTGGCTTCTCCATGAATAGTGGAGGTCTCATGGCACAGTCCCACTCATTAGATCCACTTGTCTCTTCCAGGGAATGGCTTGGAGACTAAATGGGTGGAGGATGGCTGAGGGTAATGAGCCCCAGCCCTTCTAGATTGTTCCAGAGTGTTAATCGTATTGTTAACCAGTCATATCAAGTCTCCTTGGGAGGAAGGGTGTTGTACAGAAGGGTGGGACTCTTTCAGAAAACACCATGGTATCTAGATTGGCCTTGAACCAGCTAGAGAAGGGAGAAATAATGAGCACAGGACTCAGGATTCTTTCCCCTTTTGGTTGTGATGCAGCATGAACAGGAAAGCTCTCAGCGGAATAGAAAGGACTATTCAAACAGGGAAAAGGAAACTCATGTTATTTACCAAACACTGTGGTAAGCATCCCATGTTTCTCATGTGTGTTATTCCTCATGAGCCTCACCCATCCTTCTGACATAGGGGTTGGATCATTCATTTTACAGCTGAGAAAACTGAGACATGCAGAAATTAAGCAGCCTGCTGAAAGTCATACAACTAGTTAGGGGAAGAGCTGGATAACTGCTTAATAACTAGAGTTACTCCTAAGTTACCTAAGGAACAGCAAGGGGCATTAGAATTTCAGTGACTTTTCTGGAAGGAATCGTAACATGTGAGCAATGAGGTTAAAAAAGTGAGCCTAAGATTAAAAAGTAGAAGCCATGAAGATATGCACTGGGCAAATAATATTCTCTGTGCCTGTCCTAGTGCCTCATATGGTAAGAAATAAAAGGTTGCTCTTAAGGTCCTTAAAATTTGTCATCTCAAACTAAGCACTAAAAAATTCCCAGATTACTGCTGCCTTTTCTAAAATGTAGCGGTTGGATGGAGAGAGGAGGAGTAAGGTGGCAGGCCCTAACTACAACTGCACAGAATAGGTGGCTCTCTCCCCGAGGAAGGCAAGGGCACCCCATGTCCATTCCTTCAAGAGCTGAGTATTTTTCCTGGTTTCAATATCCTCAAATGTAAAATGGTTCTGGTATCTACCTCAAAAGAGTATTGTGTTTGTAAATTAAATAGTCCTATACAGTTATACAAATTACAAATAACCTATAGGATTTGAGAAGTCACCAACTCATGATGATTAATGTAATGGATCACCGATAAAACTGTTAAAATTACAAGACATTAATGGCCATTACACGGATGTTAGGTCTGGAGTCTCAGAGCTGGAAAATATCAGAAATCTCCAAATAAGCCTTCCTCAGCTCATCAATATCCCTGCCAGGTGGTGTTATTCTGATTACAAATTATTCCTTAGTTTTAATTCATAAATCCTCTAAGGAAGAGAAAACATGATATTCTCATGCCTTGTGCTTCAAGAAGCTCAGTACTTGATTGTGGCTCCAGGTTTGTACATATTCCACCGTTCCTGCTCCTTAAAAGACCCCACAGCCGTAACAGAAAACTGCCAGTATCTGCTGTGGTCACTACTGAAGTAGAAACACAGCCAACCAGGGTCCTTGCTGGGAAATATTCGGGAAATCATAGGTGTACGTTGTTCTCTTGCCAAATCAAGTCGGGTCTCCATGACACAGAGTGGAAGGAAAAAGGGGAAAGGCCACAGGGACACTGGCCAACTGTGAGGCCCCAGTAAATGAACGTTGCATTCTGCTATGAATTTCACTACCAGTTGTGCAGTCCAGGGCAGTTGGCTACCACCTGCCAGACGCACAGCATATGCCAATGATGGGGCACTCTCTTCACATTCTAAGCAGGATACCAGGACACCACCACCCTGCCACTAGTAATTTGTTCCCTAATAAGTCTCCATTTACCTTCATTCAAGGACTGGAAGACCAAAGTTATAAAAATAGTAACCAGTAAAATTCCAGGACCTCAATACTAATCACTATTTACTCCCATCCACATCCTCCCATTTGACCTGACATTCAGGTGGATGTATTTGTTCCTTTAGTTCTTGCCCTAATACAAGGTAAATGCTCAGAGTAAACTGCCAGGTATCCACTAAACCAACCGGTATCAGGTCCCTGCCTAAGACAATGAGGGCATCCTTCAAAGGGGGAGGTGGGAGGGCCAAGGACATCCCTTATAACAGCCCTCCCCATTGTCCATCTCCCTCTAGCACAAACACCAATTGAGCTGGTTTGGGGGAAAGAATAAAATATCAAAGTCTTCTGAATCAGCACACCATTCAGCCCAAACAAAAAAGAATGACATAGAGCCTTTATTAAATTGGTTCTGAGGTATGTGGGACTAGCCTGGCTGGCTGACCAGGCTTCTTGAGCTCCACAGGCCTCTTTCACAGAAAGGGAGTTTTGATCAACAAGACCATGTACAAAAGGGGGATAATATACCCATGTGGGGAGCCAAGTTTCCATGTTGATGGTAAATGGAAAAACTTTGAGTCAGAGCTGAGCTCTGGGACAAAAAGGGAAAAGAGGAGGGATGAAGGGAAGGGGCCCAGTTCTTCTTGACTGATTCTAAAGCTCATAGTGGGATTCCATCTCACAGCTAGCCCTCTATACTAAGGAACCATACGAATCTTAAACCCCCAGGGAACCTAGACCTGCGAAGGCTGAACTTGCTATTTGAGGGTCAAGTCTACTCCCTGGAGGTAGAGTACTGGATATTTTGATGGGGACAAGGAGGGTGCAAGTGTAGAGAACTAACGTCTCAAGTCCTACTGACTGATACTAGTCCAAATAGATCAAGCTCAGCAAAGGCTGGTAAGCCTGGGTAAGGTTCCACAGGGATGGATCTTCCTAAGGGCGGGGGGAGCGGGAGGCGCTTTCCAGTTCCTAGAAAATGGCAGTGCGTGCAGACTGCCTCCCTCCTCTTCATTGTAGCTTGATCCTGGGCAGTGACCGTTCCTATAAAAGAGAAAAAAAAAAATCAGAAGAAACTTGATACATACGAAGACAAAACACAGCAGAGAAACAAGACAAAGTTAAAATCACAAAATGTAATTGGCAGCACATCTGTTTTCAAAAGATATTTACATAATTACGCCCATTCTCACAAGAATTCTGGATTAGGGCATTATGATTGTGTCACTTTCCAGTTGAGCGGACATGCCCACAAAGGGTAAGGTGTCTTTCCCATGAGCACACGACTTAGATGAAAACTTGGGACTTGGCAAGGGGACCTTCTGACCCCAGATCTGGGTTCCACCCGCCCCAACCCTTCACCAGTCACCATAGGGAGGGAAGGGAGAAATGGGAGCGAGGCGGCAGCGAGCCCAGGAGGAAAATACCCACACAGAAAGAGTCAGGCCTGGGAGGGGCCAGTCTGGGGCACAAATGCTGGAGGTTTCATAGATGGGCTGGCGCTGGCGAAGGCAGGTCTGTCAGTGACGCACTTGTCCTGCGGGTCCTGGGCTCTTTCATGGCACGCAGGGCACTCTCCTTCCTGGGATGGGAGAATGGAATTCTTCTTCCATGAGAGAGAAAATACGGAGGTGAAGAAGAGCAGAATGGGCAAGTACCAGACTGCAGCTGCAGCCAAGCCAGGGAAGAGGCTCACGAGGGTCCTCGGCGGCTCCCGCAGGACATTCCCTCCCCAGCCGGTTGGGAAGCTCCACACCTAGGCGAGGACGGGCAGCAGCGGCCCGGGGCAGGCTTCCGTGGAAACTTCCAAAACCACCTTGCCAGGTAAGTGAAAGTGCGCTCTGTTCTCTATCCACATCCTGGGCCAAGGAGGTTCTTCTTCATTCTTTCAGCAGTTCTGATCTTCTTGGGGAGCACCCCTAAATCAGCCTGTCAAGGAGGAAGTCAGGCTACAGGCATCGTGCAGAAACAGATAAAGGCCGTGAAATAACTGCCAACTGTCGTCTGCTCGGGCAGTTATACCGTTAGCCACGCCCATTAACCCACCTTCCCGGCAGGCCTCCTCCAATCAGAGGCTGTGCCCCACCCAGGGAGGAGCCTTGGGCTTTCCAGAAAGTTCCACAGCCTCTGATTGGTCCCAGACCAGCCTTCCTGGGCAGGGGTAGGGGCAGGGAACTCCTGGAGTCCATGCAGTATGCAGAGGGCGGGCTTGGTGGAAAGTCGTTGATGATGAGCACTGCCTGTTGGGACTATGGGAGACGAGGCCTTCCAGAATTTAGGTTGGCCATGTCCTGGCTTCTGAGGGGGACAGGCCCGACAGAGTTTGGGCTATGCTGGTACTGTCTCCTGCTCTCTGTTTACCAGGTTATTGAACCCTGGGTGCCTGTGACCCTGGAGTCTTTTTATTTTACCCCATTGGAAAGTACCACCCAGAAGGCACTTGTTTTGAGGCCTCGCAAGAGTTAAGAGTAAGACTGCAAATAGAGGCCCCAGTGCCATCCTCTGACCTTTTCCCACCAACCAAAGGCCTGGCACTAGAGAGAAATGCTTGAACAGACTCAGTCGGCTCCTGGGGACCCAGAGTCCTAACTGGAGGGTTTGCTAAAACCGGCTTATCTGCACTGCCTGGAAAACCCAGGCTCTGCATCAAAGCCTCAGCATCAAGGGTCCGGCCAACGGGAGAAAGTTGCTGAGCAGATGAGAACGCTCTCGGCCAATGAGAAGAGAATGCCTTAAAGGCCAACTGGAGGATGCCCATATATTTATATTTATTGGGCAAGTGTTTTGAAAGACCTTGTCATGAAAAGTTCAAATGTACCATTATATCTGAGCCTCCCATATCCCTTTTTAAAAAATTGATATAAAATTAATGTAGCATAGAATTAACAGTATTAAGTGTACAATTTAGTGGCTTTCAGTTCATTCATAAAATTGTGCAATCATTATCACTAACTCTCTTCCAGAATATTTTTATCACACTCAAGCTCCATACACACTGATATGGTTTAAATCTGTGTCCTACCCAAATCTCATGTCAAATAATTCTCTCCAGTGTTGGAGGTGGGGCCTAGTGGGAGGTGATTGGATCATAGAGGTGATTTCTCATGGTTTAATACCATCCTCTTTGATGCTTTCATGGCAATAATGAATTTTCCTGATATCTGGTTGTTTAAAAGTGTGTAGCACCTCCCTCCTCCCTCTCTTTCTCCTGCTCTGGCCGTATGAAGTGCTGCTTTCTCTCTCTTTGCCTTCTACCATGACTGGAAGTGTCCTGAGGCCTCCCCCAGAAGCAGAAGCTGCTATGTATGCTTCCTGTACAGCCTGTGGAACTGTGAGCCAATTAAACCTTTTTTTTGTTGGTTTGTTTTTGAAACAAGGTCTCATTCTGTCACTCAGGCTGGAGTGCAGCAGAAACTTCTTTTCTTTATAAATCACCCAGTCTCAAGTGTTTCTTTATAGCAGTGATAGAACAGACTAACACATTCATTAAGCAACCACTCCCCATTCTGCCCTCCCTTCATCCTCTAATTGGCTTTCTGTTTCAATGGATTTGCCTGTTCTGGACGTTTCATATAAATGGAGTCATACCATAGATAACCTTTTGTGTTTGGCTTCTTTCAATTAGCATAATGTTTTCAAGGTTCATGCGTATCATAGCCTGTGCCAGTACTTCATTATTGGTAAGGCTTATATTCCACTGCATGGATATACAATATATTGTGTATCCAGTTGATGGACATTTGGATTGTTTCTACTTTTTGACTGTTAGAAATAAATCTGCTGTGGACATTGTGTACACCTGTTTTTGTTTGGACATGTCTCCAGTTCTGTTGGATATGTACCTAGGAGTAGAATTGCTGGGTCATGTGCTAATCCTATATTTAGGTTTTTGAGGAACTGCCAAAATGCTTCCCACAGTGGCTGAACCATTTTGTGTTTCTACCAGCAATATATAAGGGTTCTGATCTCTCCACATCTTTGTCAACACTTGTTTTCTTTTTGCTGTGATTGTTAAATTATAGCTATCCTAGTAGGTGTGAAGTGTTATCTCATTATGGTTTTGATTTACATTTCCCTAATTACTAAAGATTCTGAATATCCTCTTATGTATTTATTGGCTGTATTTTCTTGGTATGTTTTTTAAGAGAAATAGCTGTTCTAGTCCTTTGACAATTGAAAAAAATTGATTTCTGTATCTTTTTGGTTTGTTATTGAATTTTGGTTTGTTCTTGAATTTTAAGAGTTATTTATATATTCACAGTCCTAGACCTGGCTTTGTCTGTTTGTGATGCTGTAACAAAGTGTCATAGACTGGATGGCTTAGAAACAACAGAAATTTATTTCTCACAATTTTGGAGACTGGGAAATTAAAGATCAAGGTGCCAGCAGATTCGGTGTCTAGTGAAGGCCTACTTCCTGGTTCATGCATGGCCATCTTGCAATGTGTCCTATATACTTTCTTAAAGTATATATTTGGGTTATGTGGTGGAAGTAACAAGGGAGTTCTCTCAGGCCTCTTTTATAAGGGTACTAATCCCATTCATGAGGGCTCTGCCTCATGAATTTGGGGGAAGTATTTAGTTCATAGGAAGTTTCTCACAGGGTATATAATTAACAAATAATTTCCCTCAGTTTGTTGGTTATTTTTCCACTTTCTTGATAGTGTTCAATGCACAAAAGTTTTCAATTTTGATGAAGCCCAATTTATTTTTCCTTTTGTTGCTTGTGGTTTTGGTATCCTATCTAAGGCTCTGTTGCCAAATCCAATATTATGAAGATATGTCGTTTTTAATAAGAGTTATAGTTTTAGCACTTACGTTTGGTCTTTTATGATTTTTAACTAACTTTTGTACATGTTGTGAGTGGAGGTCCAAATTGATTCTTTTACATGTGCTTATCCAGCTGTCTCCCAGCTGAATGATCTTGAGACCCTTGGAGAAAAATCAATTAACCATAAGTATATGAGTTTATTTCTGGACCCTAAATTTGATTCCATTGAGCTATGTGTCTATGCTTGTATGTATTCATAAGTCAGTTGGTAGTTCGTGTCTTCCTAGGAATTTGTCTATTTCATTTAGGTTATCTAATTTGTCGGTGTATAATTGCTCATATGATTTCTTTATAACCCCATTTATTTCTGTAAGGTCAATGTAATGTCCTCTCTTTCATTACCGGTTTTAGTAATTGGAGTCCTCTTTTTTCTCTTGGTAAGTCTAAAGTTTTGATTTTGTTAATTTTATTTTTTTTTAAAGAACCAATTTGTGTGCTTATTCATTTTCTCTATTGTTTTTCTTTTCTCTATGTCATTTATGCACACTTTACTCTTTATTATTTCCTTTATTATGTTTGCTTTGAATTTAGCTTTTTCTTTTTTCTAGTTTATTATATTCTTAGGTTATTGATTTGAGATGTTTATTCTTTTTTAATGCGGATGTTTGCAATGAAAAATTTTCGTCTAAATACTGCTTTTGTTGTATCCATACATTTTGGTATGCTTTGGTTTTGTTTTCATTTATATCAGAGAATTTTCAAGTGTCTCTCCTGATTTATTATTTGAGCCATTGGATTGGTTAAGAATTTGTTTGATTTCTACACATTGTGACTTTCCAAATTTCTTCTCATTATTGATTTCTAATTTTATTCCATTGTGATTGAAGAAGATACTTTTTATAATTTTATTTTTTATACTTACTGAGACTTCTTTTGTTGCCAAATTTATGGTCTGTACTGGACAATGTTCCATGTGGATTTCAGAAGAACATATACCGTTCAATTGAGTGTTTTATAGATGTCTATTAGGTCCAGTTATTTTATAGTGTTGCTCAAGCCTTCTGTTTCATTGATCATCTCCTGTCTAGTTATTCTAGCCATTATTAAAATGATATACTGAGGTATCCAAGTATTATTGTTGAATTGTCTATTTCTCCCTTCAACTTAGCAGTTGTTATTTCATATATTTGGGGGTTCTGTTGTTAGGTACGTATAATGTATAGTTGTTATATCTTCTTTCTTGTACTTTTTAGGGGAACATTATATATTTTTGAATTTAGTTTCATTCCTCCATGTTTAGAGATACAGTGTTTATAGCCATATATTGTCCTCTGATTACTGTCTTAAATATATTTTACAGATAGGATATTTAGTGGTTTAAGTATCTTTTTTTTTCAGAATACTTTAATTCTTGTTTGTGTCTTAATTATCACTCAATTGTTTAACAATAGATTGTTTTAAAGTTCCAATTGGAAGGGCATCTTTTAAAATATATTTTAATGTAAAAATCTTTTCTTACCAGTTTTAGTGAGATATAATTGGCATACAATAAACTTCATATATTCAAGATGTACAATTTGATTAATTCTGACATTTATAAAAACCAATGAAATCATCATGATGATCAAGATAATGAACATACCAAAAAAACTTTGTGTCCCTTTGTAATCTAGTTCTTAACCTCGTTCCCCACAAGCAGCCACTTACCTGCTTTGTCATTGTGGTTAGTGTGCACTTCATAGAATTTAATATAAATGGAATCATACAGTATGTACTCAATTTTCTTATAAATAATTTGACTCAGCATTGTTTTGAGATTGTTTTGAGATTAAAACATGAGTTTTAGTGTTAATTTCTTTTTATTGTTGAATCAAATTCTATCATATGGATATACAATAATTAGTTTATCTAGTCACCTGATGATGACATTTGTGTTGTTTCCAGTTCTTAGCTAATACAAATAAAGCTGCTAGGAAACTTGGAGGACATTTGTGTGAATATATACTTTTATTCCCTTGGATAAATATTTAGGAGTTGAATGACTCTATCATGTGATAAGTGTATGTTTAGCTACCAGCCAGGTGCAGTGGTGCACTATTGTAATCTCAGCTACCCAAGGTACTGAAGAGGATCCCCTTGAGCCCAGGAGTTTGAGGCCAGCTTGAGTACCATAGCGAGACCCCTATCTCAACAAAAAAAAGAAAAAAGAAAAAAGAAAAGAA